TGTTTCTCTTGTACATTTACAGTACACATTTCTTCATTACAAGCCACCCTTCTCTTCCATATTCGCACTTCTTGTCAAGGCCGTGAAAAAGAAGAACGTGAAGAAGATGTGAAAAGTCTCAATGCCACAGCACAAAAGCAGCAGCCCAAGAACGAAGGGACTATTATAAATGCTCTCAGTGACATGAATCAGAGTTATGAAAGCAGAAAGCAGCAGAATTCCAGGGCAGTGGTACCTTTCACTGGGATTACAGAGAGTAGGTAACATTATTTATTTAAACAATGTCAGAAAATTGCTTTTTAAAAAATCATATCAGAGTAATGCTTTGATTGTTGTCCTGAAAGATTCCAGCCGGTTGGTTTTCTGTAGCCATTCACTTAAATTATTCCCGTGCCCACTTAGGAAATGGTGATAAAAATTTAAGGTAGAACCGGGGATCTCGTACCTGCAAAAGGTGGTAACGAAAACCAGGGAAGGATACTAGGAATTAAGAAGGGTTTGGTCCCTTGGATTTGCAAAATTGGTTGTAAAATTTTGTAAAGTTATGTTCATTTTCTAAAATTCACCATAATTCATGACGAACAATTATTTAATTTGGAAAAAAAAAAAAAAAAAAAGAAGTAGTCTGAAAGCAGCAGTACTAACAGAGGAAAAAAAAACAAGGCTGGACTTGTGTTTCCTCCCACGTAGACAAGTTTTAGATTGGTACTCAATGCCAGGAGCCTGAGAAAGACTTGAGGGAGCGTTCCCCTCCTCTCTCAAAACTAAGCGACTCTTCCCAGTTACAAAGCCTCCTTTCTTCAAAAATAAGCACGGCTTCCCGGTAACAATGCCCCTTTCTTAGTGTGACTGGAACCTGCCTCCGTCAAAGTGAAATATTTCACGGGAATATGTGCTGCTGCTGCGGGACTTGCCAGGCGTCGGTCCTTGACTGTCCTGTAATCCCTAGTCGTTTGCTTCTAATCCTTAACTAAACAAACTGGGTTTAACTGAACAAACACTCCTAACAGGCAGATAATTTTATTGTCTCTAAAGACAATAAAACTAGGTATCTTTAAGATCCTTTGGCAACTGGAGAGACCTGAGAGAACAAGCGAGGAAAAGGGGAGGTTCAGAGCCCCTGGGGTGCTTGGTAACCTTGCCATACTGTCTTGCAGGTAAAAAACTGAACAGACGCTGCTGCCAAAATGGAGGGACCTGTATCCTAGGGGCTTTCTGTGCCTGCCTAAAGCATTTCACTGGCAGATACTGTGAATATGATGAGCGGCAAAGGTAAAAAAGACCAAAACCAGAGAGAGCGAGCCGAGCTGCTCTGGATGGTTATGTTCTGTGGTGGGTCGGGGATGTACCAAATGTCTCCCTTGTCCTTGGCAGCAACTGCGGCAGCATTGCCCACGGCTCCTGGGTGCTGAAGGGCTGTTGGCTGTGTCGGTGCGGCTATGGTACTCTGAATTGCCTCTCAGAAATAATGCACGATAACTGTGGTAAGGAATGGCGTTAAATCAACCATTTTTGTCTTGTGGGTAACAGAATTGCCTTCTGCAAAGGTGGGATACTCAGAGGATGCTGTATGTGCTCTATTTAGACTTCTGCAGTGGCATGCTTTGCTTCAGAGAATGCAAGTGAGACAGTAAATAATACTGCTGTTGCCTGTACAGTACATCACATAAAATACTTTGAGATCTTTATAATCCTGTGCAGTAGGAAACTTTCCCCAATTTTAATCGAAAATTGCACGGATCAAATGTTTCTCTGTTCTGCAAAATCTGCATGTGTCTATGACTTCCCACTTAACCAGGACAATTTGTACAACTAAACTATATCCAAGCATGCAAAAGTCTTTCTTAGATGACGGAAGAGAAAAATCAGTAGTGTAAGCTGGTGTGGTAGAAGTAGAAACTGCTGTTACACTAGAGAAAAAGGTACTGAAAACTTGCATGTTCTTGCATAAGCTACTTAGCATATAAATGGCACAAAACTAGTCTGAACCTTATTTTAAGATGTGTCTTAAGCTTCAAAATATTCTTGTACCGAGTTCTAAGACTGAGTACACTCCATAAGAAATGTGTAGCCATAGTCCTGATCACTGTAAAGTTAATAGCATCCAGTCTTCTCAAAAGCACTATGTTACTTTAAGTCAAATCTTTATACATCAGCCTGTGAAAAGCCCTGTATAAAGGTTTGAGTATTTTTTAAAACAGTGCATCAGCTAGCAGAAAAACTTGAAGGATTGCTTTATAGGTACTTGTTTTCCATGGAGAACTGGCTCCTGAGGTCCAGACTAGTTTCAATACTCTGAAATGACTAATAAGAGTTTGATATTATTTTCTCTCCAGTGGCAAAGTTAGTGCAAAATATTCTTGCCCTTCTCCATCCAAGTTGTCTCCATCCCATCCTGTGCTGTAATATAATTTTCTTCAGTTGTGCCAACATCACTAGTTAGCAGGGTCAGAAAACAACAGACGTAAATAGCTTCAAGATTCATTTGCACCCCATGGAACTACCAGCCTCTCCTTTCCTGACCAGATTCCTATCTGAGTAGCAGTGCATTGAAGCTATGACTCCTGAGCTATACCACCAACTCAGAGTAAATACAAATTTCAAAACGAGCCTCTTAGGTCCCCAGGATATGCCCCACTGTGTGATAAGCCCACAAATTCATAGAAATGAAATGCAAAAGAAAGGTGACATTCTTATCTTTGCAACCACAGCCAAATAAAACAAAACAAACAAAAAAACAAAAACAACAACAAAAAAAAAACACACCAAAACCAAAAACCCACGACCAAAAGGACTTTTGCCTTGAAGTCTTCTTCATTGACTAATTATGTGTGGCACACAACTTGCTCGTTAAACTCTTCAGAAGAGTTAAATGCTACAGTTTCCTTGGGTGTTCACCTTTGAATCAGCCCTATTATTTTCTGATACAGGGGCAAAAGACCTAACAAGCAGTCTACTGCTTACCACTCTTGAGTTCAGCTTAACAAAGGCAATAAAGGTGGTAGTGGAGAATCATCTGCTCATCCTCTGAGCAGGGCCTCAGTGCCTTTCACATGTATGAGGGTACGACTTTCTGCTTGTGCTAAAAAATGAAGCCCGTTCTTTTTAAAGGAAGGGTTAAAGGGCTACTTGCAGAGTTGAGTGCATACTTCTTGTGAAGATCTTGCTCTTGCTTTTGCTTGGTATTTACTTTTGATTATTCTGAGATTAATGCCTGCAAGAGCTGATAAGTGCTATCAGTTGCTCCTCAAACGATCATTGATGGGACATCTATTCACATCTCTCCCCTGAGAATAGCCTCTTTGATTGGCTTTAACAGCTGATACCTTTAACTTAAGTACCTGTGAGATGTCGAGGACTTTCAAAGTATGTTGAGAAACCTTATGTTTTAGAATTTACATGCTTTACTCATTAACCATTTTATTTTCTTGATTTTTTTTAGAACTGAAATCAGAAAAGGAGGAAATTACCAGGCTATATTCTAATGGGCTAAGATTACAGCAAACAGTGTTTGCACTCGCTTGCCTGCTCACCATCTTCCTGGAGCTCTGCTGCTGGCAGTTGTGAAACTGGACAAAGGGAATTATACCTTAGGGCTGATACAACCTTCACCATGAGTCATACAATTTTTTTCTTCTTCGAAGCTGATTAAGATGTATTAGTTAATGCCGAAATGTTTGGATTATTATAAATTCAGACTATATGAATGTGAAGTATTTATTATTATATTATTATTTTATTACCGCTATCAATGTCTGATTCTAATGATTCTTTAGTTCTAAAATACTGTTCTTCCAGTGGAAGCAAAAAAAAAACCAAACCCAATGTTCTATGTCTTAAGTATTGTAAATTATAGTAATTTCTTTTGTACACAGTACAACTACTTTAACAAATAAAGCCTATTTCATTTCTGAAGACCTTTTATGTTTGGCTTTATTAAACTTGGAAATTCTTATCTGCCATTTGTCATTGTATTGTATCCTGTAACAACACAGTAAAAGAAGGCCAGGATAGAAGGAACAATCTGAAATTCGAAGACATAAGGAGGGTTTTAAGGGTAGGTATATTTCAAACACTAACATCCAGAAGAACTCTAAAAATTATATAGTATTTCAGTTTTTATTATTTATTATAGCTAAATTGTATGTATGCATAATCTTAGGCCAGAAGCATATGTTTCTTAAGAACACATAGCTGATACTTACTTGTCTTTTGGGGGTTTATTTTATCTCATATCCTAGAAATATAAGCTCTTCTTTCATTTTTATAAAAGGACAGCAAAGAGCAACATCTTTAAACTTTTTCTATAGGAAAACTATCTTGATTTATATACTATTTAAGTATGAGTATTTCTAGGCTGTAAAATAAAAAAAGTTTGGAACGTGTAACTGCATTTGTAATGCAAGTTTATAAAACACCAGAAACTTTGTTTAAAAAAAAATAAAAATTGCAAATAGAATTCTAAACTGTACCCTTGTTCTTTGAATGTGGAGCTACTGCATAGAAACAATCAGATTTATAATTTTGTTGTCTTAAAAGACAGTATTGATATATAAAATTCTTGATTACTTTTAAAAGTTAAGTATATCTTTAAAATTTATTAATTTCTTTGGTGCCACAAACCAAGACAACAATCCAGTTATTAAGCAGAGAAGGACACATCACCAACAAATGACATAATATAGTGGCTGCCTTTGAATCTATGCCTATTCAGTTACAGACTTTTATGGGGACTCATTGTGTAAAAGCATACTCATGTCAAGTAC